TTTTTTTTTTTTTTTTTTTTTTTTAGAGCCGCGGCAACAGTTACGAGCCCCGATCGCGATAACAATAATAATAACGCGTTATTATCATTACCGCGTGACGTGGTCCGCTCTCGCTAACAATTACTATTACGATAACAATATTGTTATAAAATAATACAACGGTAACGTAATGCGTTGTACGTTTTAATATCATTGACTATTATTATGCGTTTGTCGCGCGCGCTTGTGTGTGAACATACCGAAATAGAAAGTTTAAGATAAAAGCGTTTTTAGGCATTTAAATCGCGGTGAAACGCGCACACTGGGGACGTTCGATCGATTTATTTTCTTTTTCTAATCTCACGGACGTTCTACTGGAAAACACAGTGAGATTGAGAATGCAAACGAAAAAAGAAAAAAAGAAGACCGTTTGATAAATTATAAACGAAAAATCGATCGGCCGGTTAATCGTGAATCGTATTTTTTTTCGATTTCCGGATCGGTACAATGCCGGCGCAAGTCGGTACATTGGCTACGGACGAACAGCGGAAATCCACCGGAAAAACAGACGGATTGATGCGAACCGTTGACGCCCACGCGACAGCTTGCGGTTTTTCGCGTGGCGCCAATCGCCAATGACGCTCGTATAACAAGTGTCCCGTATCTGTTGTTTATTATATTTTCGGATTGTCTGTGCAGTACAAGCTGATAACGAGAGCTATGCAAATGCTATGATCTATGCATCCGCCAAAAGATACCCGCGAATTCGGGGGCGACGCGAAACACATTTTACCCGTATTCCCTCTGCACGTTATCAATCCGAAATCGTCCGCGGCGAGCCTAACTTTTGACTTTTCTGAACCGCCGCGATTCCGTTTCGCGGTCAAACGGTTTGTATCAAGGGCGCCCGATGTGGGGAGCCAGGGTGCGACATGTAACCTCCATAGAAAAATTATACCGTTATTATTTTTTTTTAATTAAAATAAATTAATGTTTCTCACGAAAACGACAAGAAGTACTGTGTGAGAATGTAGATTGGACGGACCGTGTATGCTCAGTGTTCGTAGGAAAAAAGTTCAATACGAGACCAAATCTGTTGAGAAAATAGCTGAGAAATTTAGTTTACGAAATCGCAATTTACAGTTTATGTTTTGAAATATTATTTTTGTTCACGTTGTGCACAATTTATGTTTGTTTCGTTATTTAATAAAAGCAATTTTGTTGATTCTTAGTTTTTAAGTTTTTTTTTTTTAATTGTATTATTGTCACCGTCTTAGGTTTTGACGGTCGGGCGCCCTTGGTTTGTATATAGTATTGTATAATATCTATTATTGCATGTTGTGTTGAGTACTTGTTATTGGTAACCGTGCGATATAAATTTAAAAAAAAATCCGAAAAAAAAGTGTTTTCCAGTAGCTGGAGTGAACTATAGTACGCCAGTATTATATTACAGGTACACGAATATTATTAAAAGCTTCGGAGCGCGGTATTTGGTTTTTAATTTTTTGTTTTGTTTTGCGTTTTTTTTTTTTTTTTTTTTATTGTTCTTACAGATATTATACTGCGCTTATTAAAATTATTATTATAATATATAGCCGCTCTACTCTATTTCGTTGATTGTAATTTACATAATTAATATACGCGCCGAACGAATGTATGATGAAAATAAAAAATTTAAAAACGTGAGTTTCCGGAAATTATGTCCGGATATATAACGCGCGTTTAATAATAACCTCCTATGCATATTAAACGAGTTACACGTTATAATATAAAATAAATAAGTGTTTGTAGTTATTATCTAATATATATATATATAAATAGCGACATCGATTTAGAACCGTTGTGTACGTTTATTTCCGAGCGCTTCGGAAAAAGAAAAAGAAAAAATTGAAATATCGTACATATAATTAGAGTGTATTCGTGAATTCGACAGCGAACGTACTTACATTTTTGTAATAAAGTATAAAAAAAAAAAAAGAGACCGTCGTCGCTTAATGGTAATAATGTTTATACGAACAGTGTAAAAAAAAAAAAATAAAAAAAACATTTTCAACAAATTACGTAACATTATGGTTGGTAATTAAAAAATAATAATAATAACAATCGGTATAAAAAAAAAACAAGTAGGTGTTCTATTGTTAGGACGAAGACGTTACGGCGTTATCGAGGGCGAGTTTGAAGAGCGAAAAGTGATTTTAATCGAAAAATCGACGAACATAAAGATAAAAGAGTACGATCCTTGATAAAAATTCCCACTACGTACAATTACGACGTATGGAACGTAAACACGAGGCCCGTTGATTGCCGAGGATTGTAGCGGTTAGAACGTTTTTAAATCGACGACATCGTGAGGCCCGAACGCGGTCCAGTATTTACGTAACACATTGTTTTTTTTTTTTTTTTTTTTTTTTTTTAATTGCAATTATGACGAGACGTTCGATATCGGGCGGGCAAAGCAGAGTAACCGAGTCGAAAAACCCTCGGCGTGCAACGGTGTTAAAAATACGTCACGACATTATTATGGTACGGTTACGCGCATAGACGTAAATAATAATGGGGAAGAGAGCGAGGTCGGTAACGTTTAGTTCTATCTGAACCGTCTCGAACCCCGTGTCTATTTCCATCTCTTTTTACGCCAGTATACATCGAAATATTATACCGCGCTGAAATGCACGGACGGTTTTGGATTCGTATTCATTTGTTTTGTTTTGTTACCATGGGTGACAGTCGGGTTATGAAAAACGCGATATTGTGTCCGGGCGGGTGTGTGTATGTGTGTGTGGAATGCAAAAGGGAAGTGGGCGAGTCACGGCAAAAAATGCCCAGAACCGTCGCACTAAATGTAAATGCGTGATTTAGCCTCCGGTTGGCGAATTTATACGAATGAATTCGGTCGAGAGAGAGAGAGAGAGAGAGAGAGAGAGTATGTAACTAAGTGTCGCGTTTCGGAACGCTGAAAATTTCCTATAAATTACGAAAATTCCGTTGGAGAAGGGGAATGGGGGGGGGAAAGAATGTGTCGAAATACGCACTGACCACAGCCCGCGTGTTTGTATTTATTCCGGACTCTCGCGTGCCATCGCGGTGATAATGCGCCGTCGCTTTTCAAAAGCGGGAAATTTACGAGAGAATTTCGGGTCCGGACGAAACGCGTAAAGAGACCTTCGCGAAATTTCGGGCCCGATTGCGACACGCCCACCGCAGCATAATTTACCGGCCGAAAACTGCGGATATCCGCAACGGGAACGATTTATCGTTGTCCAAAATAACCGTTTTTCCCGTATATCATGCCGTTCAAACGCCATTCGAATTATTCGATCGTATTTCGTATTGGACAGTTCGACGGGCGCAACGAGTCGTGCGATCGAATTCGAATACACAGTTCGATACCTACGGTTCTGGTTCAGCTGCCCGCGAGCATTCGAATCCGGTGAACCGTATCGGCCGGCGTGAATTCGGCATTTACCTCTCCCGTGCGACGCGTTCCCGTCCGACTTTACCTATCCTCTCGGCAGCCGAGGTTGGCGTTTACCGCCCTTTTTTTTTTTTTGAACGGATGGGTGGGGCCCGAGCCATGGTTTTATGTCGAATCGGTACGCATGGAATATTAATTTCGGATTGTTGTACGGTATAGTTCGTTATGAAAACGAGGGCGGCGGGTCTGCACCGGGTTTTCACCCGTCCGCCTTCTTAAAACACGGTTCCGCGTGTAACGATAATTGTGTAGTTTGTTATTTTGTCGTATATCGTCGCGTCTCGTATAACGAACTCGCACAGTCTGTAGTGATTATAATTATTAAAATGCGGCCGCGTCAATCGTACACGCGAATCGGAAGTCGGCAAAAGTTCGAACGGTCGACGATCCGAGGGGGTCGCGAACGTTTTGATCGGCGACCCGTTCGAATCTTGTGTTATCCGAAGCGTCCCCTATATCCGGCCCGACAACACAAATCTTCGGAATCGACGCGAAGGTTCGCAGAATTTACACGCGAGTTTTAAATTACAAAATTATAATACATTTTCCGTAATTGACTTGTAGTAGAAAACACTACATTGTAATATTGTTTGATTATCTTTTTTTCGTTTTTTTTTAGGTTTGTTTACATTCCGAAATTTGCCGATTCGCGGCCGTATCGGTATTGAAGAGCGTTTCGGTTGGGGGCGGAGGGGAAACATAATTTAAAAAAAAAAAATAAATAACAGGGCGATCAGAACGTACAGACAAAACTATTGCTATGGATCCGCGTACGAATAACGTCTCATACACACTCGTCGCCGATGTGTTCATTTTCTGCTCGGTTTTTGTCGTCCTAAACACCCGTGTACATTATTACGATTATAATAATAGTTTATTGTTCAAATAATGTTCGACTAACGGCCAATCAATGAACGCATATCGTTTATCATAATAAGTATAATAATTAACGTGGTAAAAAAAAATAATAATAAATACGTTTTGAGGGATGTACGCGATGAGGTGATACGGGACGGTGAAATGACCACGTAACGATGCGAAAGACGATAGAGAATAATATTATTATTGTTATTATACGGTATTTTATAATATTGTTGTGTTATTTTTATTGGTTTTTTTTTTTTTTTTTAATTTTTAATTTTTTTTCGGAAAAAAATCTTTAACGGCAACGGACGCCGCGGTCGGGTCATCGCTTGTTGTAGGCATGGTCGTACTGTCGCTCGTCCCCGTCGCAACCGCATTATGGACAACCGCATTCGTCGATGACCATTTTGGGCAGGTCTCGCTTGATGATGTTACCGTCGTCCGTGAAGTAGATGAGCGACATGGACGAGAACTTGACGGGCGCGCAACACGGCTGGAATATGGACGAGTGTTTGGCCTTCCGGTAGTCCTCGATGGCCTGCGTGTAGAAGTTCAGATACGTGTCCGGTGTCCTGTGCACGCCGCCGCAATCGCCGCGGCAGTAGTTGGCGTAGTAGCCGCCGGGCGCGATTATCCACGAGTCCCAGCCTATGTCCTGGAACTTGATGTAGAAACGCTGCTTGCAGCACTGGCCCCGGACGGCCAGCGAACAGTCCAGCGCCCGGCGGCGGACCCGCCTGGTCACTGTCGGGTCTGTGTACACCATCAGGAACGGGTTCTCCCACTCGTTGGCCTGCCTGGTGTCGTGGAAAAGCACCGGTGACACCAGGCCGCCGCAACCGGAACAGTCGATGTGGAACCGCAACCGGTGTTTGCCCGCCGAACCGTACCATTCGCGCACCGTGTTTGTCACGTCCACCGCTATCCAGCCCAGGTTGTTTAACGACAGCGACAGCGACGACGCCAACGTGGCGTGCTCGTCGAATTCCTGAATAGTTAAACACACACGCACACACACACACACATTTGCGATAAAACGATTGTTGTAGAAGAAAAAAAAAAAACAATAAAAAAACAGTTTAGATTATTATATAATGGCACCCGTACGAGCATTATGTAGATGCGGAAAATGTTTTGAATATCAATGCTGAGCTAACAAGTAACTAAGTCATTAAGTCACAAAAAAGTTACAAAACCAAGTAACTCGCCCAGCTTTGCAATACATATTGTAAAAATGTTATATATAATAATATATATATATATATATATATATATATATATATAGGTACCTACTGTAACTATAATAATACTGAAATTGTTAAAATGATTGCGTTTCAGTTTTTGATCTTAAAAGTAGTTTTTACTAATGAAATCCCCCCCCTAAAAAAAAAAAATAAATAAATAAAAATCGACTCCTCTCTGATCTGACGCCACTAAATATGTTTAACCGAAATTCGCTCAGAATTATTTTTCGTTAGCTATGATTTATCGTTGCGCATAGACATAAATAAAATGAATTTATGACACATCGTACTTTCCCAACTTCCCACCTACAACGCCAATAACCATTAGCATATCCATTAGCATCAGAACTTTTTTTCTATTCTATAGTAACACGTCGTTAAAATCTATAAAATACTCATGTAATTGAAATACTTTGCCGGACGAAAAAATACCTTAATATTTTAGAAACATTATTCACTCCCGTTTCTCAAAATGGTTCTATAAGTTCAAAAATATTAGCACACTTTTACTCGACACTGTAATTTAATTAAGAAAGAATAATCATAGAGGAGTACCAATAAATATATAAATAAATAAATTTCGTGACTTTAAATTTTCACGAGCTAAGTTGCGGTGGGACAAAAGGGGTAAGGGGTAAGATGTTGAAGAGGAAGGTTATTTGGGATAGAACGTGAAATGAATATATTCTATGGGACGGTGTAGTTTTCAGGATCTTCGATAATGTAGTTCAAATCTTACACCTGCCCTTTAGAGAAGAAGTTTCACTTCTAAAACAATACAGGTCATAATAATTAATCCTACAGTGTTATTCTTACGTAAATAATTGCGTCAATAATCATTTTTTTTTTTCAATCCTGTTTCGTGCGAGGGAGGCATATAATGCGTACAGAAAAATTAAATAACGTGTATTCATATTCGATCAATAGTTTTGTAAAAAACAGCCATTTAAATGGCTAGAAAATTGGCGTGAAAACAATTAATTTACAATAGAATAACACGTTACGTGATAAGGAATCGCAATTAGCACGGTCATTTCTTATCTTCTATTGAATAGTAATTGTTTTCACGCCTATTTGCTATGCAGAACACCCTATATAAAATTACGAAAGTGTTTAAATATCAAAGATTTATTCATGAACAATATTATGTCATGACGTTTTTTCACATTCTGACTCCTTTAAATTTAAATTTACCTACCTCATACACAATCAAACAATTGTATCTTCCCACCCGTTTGTACGCGATCTCGGTTTTACCTTAATTCCAACTCTTTTCTTATCTTTTTCTTTTTTTTTTGAAACTTCTTCCCGTAAAGCCCTCGAGCTTCTGGCGTTCACCAGCCGTTTCTCCCGATAATTTCGTCTCCTTCCACCCTTCAAATCTGTCATTTGTCCCCTTGTACGTCCTATCCTGGAATACAAATCTGATCTTTGAGACTCTTCCATTTCTCGCGAGCAGGATGATTGAGCATGTACAACGTAAGTTTTTCGGTTTAGTCACTTCTCGTTTCAATATTCCCCACCCTCCTCACGATTACTCTCCCATCCTTCTGTTATGTCTATCCAACTTATCTGGCCGCGGATACTATTTAACCACCTCTTCCATTCTAATCTCATTTCGAGTAAAATTAATGCACCTTCATTATTATCACAGCTTTTAAGGTTTCTCTCCGTTATACCCACTCCTCCCGGCCTTTTTTCGTCCCATTTTCATCTCCGATTCCCCACCTCTTGTACCCCGCCAACGCGGACTTTTATTTCTGGTGAATTCACTAATTGCATTTTGTATTTACTTGTTTTTTTGGTTTGCCCGTTTTAATATAATAAATATCAAACAAAACAATAATTGCATATCTGGATTTAATTTCTAAAAATGAAATATTTTTAGAACTAAACACGAACTTTGGAACTAAGGGGCTTAGCGAAAATTCGGGAAGACAAAGTCCGCACAAGCCTTCTTATTTATTTGCACCTTTTCTGATACCGCTGATGGGTCCGCCACTGTTGTAGGTGGGAAGTCAGAAAGGTTACAGGATACATAGAGTTATTCTGTAATCAATTTGTATCTGTACGCAACGGTAGATCAATATAATAATAATAATAATAATACTGATAAATGTCATTTTAAGCGAAATTCAGTAATTTAATGTTTGTGAAATGCTATGGTTTTTTTTTTGCGATTTTCAACAAAGTCTACGTTCAATTCTCGTTCCGACCTCGAGTAAAACTGATGTTGAATTTCGCGTTTCGGACATTTTACGGCAGACATATATGAATATTTTATGAAAATGCGAGGTATTTTCGATTGTTTTAAAAATAATTATAGTCATATATTCCTGGTAGTAATGTTGTTCGTAGACACAAACAAACGAAAAATAAAAAAATTAAATTACAGTGAAAACCGGTACGTTCCTCGCGTGCCGAGAATCTGAACGTGATATTATTTCGGAGAACGTTCAATTGTTATCGATCTATTTCGGGGTCGTTTTGACAATATTATAACAAGAAATTTAT